GGGCCGCTCTCAGGGCGGCACTTCCGGAACACGCTGAGCATCTCGTCAAAGGTCATGGTGCCAGAGCCATCCTCATCACAGGCCTCAGAACGACCCAACAGCACGCTTAAGCAACTGCCAGCAGCTTGCAGCCCCGCTTGTAAGACAACCATACATTGCCGCCATGACCACCGTGCCTGGTGATGCTGCTGTGTTGCTGGGGATGCTGTGGGTGCACCCGGGAGAAAAAGAAAGGGGGGGGGGGGTTGGCAAGGGAGTGCCCTTTTGAAACTGGAGTGCAGGTCAAAAAGGCAGTGAACCAAAGTGCAAAGCTGGGGTGTTTTGGTGGGGTCCCCTTAACTGCACGGAGCCACAACAACAAAAACCACAACTGAATTGTAGAGGAGTCTCCGTCCTTATGTTGCTAGACCAGTATGGAGTTCGGGGCATAGGCCCCCCCTTGGGTTGTTCCCCAAAACGTCCGCAGGATTCCCACACCAACCGCTCTGAAGGCCAAACCTGGAAGACCTTGTACCAATTTCCGGCCGCTCGGTGCCACCTCGGCGCAGCGAGAAGGCGTTTCGGCGCACTCGACTTCGTTCAAAAACCTCCGGCCGGCATGAAGCTAAAGGCTTCTTTGTGCGTAACAGCCTCGACAAGCAAGCATACCTCCTAGGTCCTCCAATGGAGAGGTTAGAATACGGGTACCAACTTTTTTCCGTAGTCTATTTTAGTAGGGGAACCCTCCCCAAAAAAGGGTGAAAGGGCACTGGGGGACCTGGCCTCTGGGAGGAATCCTATGTTTTTGGTCGGACACCCTGGGACTTGGCTGGAAATTCGACTGGGCTGCCGCGCTTCTCTGCGGCGGTGTTGAGGATCTGAATCACCCGGGAGATGCCTGCGTGCTTGGGACCCGCGAAGCTGAACCAGGGGCAAGGCTGCATCGAATTGGACAGCGGGTCCCACCTTTTCGTCGGGTGACACACCTTGAGCAACTGAGAAAATGTGAAGCAACACCCACTCCGGAGGCATAATAAACCCCATGTTGTTCCCAAACAAGGCCTTCAAAGAGTTGTCATAGGCAGCATGGGCTGCTGACTGCGAAAAGTGTACCTAAAAATAGGGCGACTTTAAAAATGGCTCATGTTCAACTTGGCTTCCCCTTCAACCAACTCAAAAGGAGCTCCTCCCCGTGCCTTGCTCATCCAAGTTCGGCCAGGTGTCCACCTGCGCGAGTAAAACAATTTGTTTTTGCAAAGGAAGGCCTGGAAACTGCAACCTGGTCCTCCGAATCTCCGTAAGTTTTTGGGACCTGTTTGGGTTCCTTTCGTTGTGGAGAGGAGTATCATTTGCGATGCCCGAACCAACACGGGACCCACAAGGCCATAAAGGAAAATCGTCCGGAGAGACTTGTCACGAGATGCTGGAAGGCCCCCAACCCAAACAACCCATTGAGCTCGCCTCTCTAGAGGTACACCCAGATGAAAATGGCTTCATTTTGCATACCCCACCAAAAGGAAAATCGCGCTAACTTGGCCCAAAAAGTGATGTTTGATAAGACTCGCACCTGCGCAAGCGTAGAATTCAATCTGATGCAGCTCGCGTGGTCTAAACAGCTAAGTAGGCCCCTCATACACCCAAAGTGACTCCATCCTAGCTTAATAACTCTAGGAATGACTTCACCAAACAAAACCGGAAGCTTCTTCTGGATGAATTCACTCCACTCCCCCAGGTGGTATTGCAAAAACATATTGTAGGTACTTGGGTTCAAACTGACACAGTGCCACCCAGCATGAGGGGCTGAACAACCGCTAATAGACTTCTCCTCCGTAACTAAATGTGGTTTCAGTGCCCCACAGCTCCACATCTTCTTCAACCCAAGCCCCTTGTCGGAAAGGCGATGGCACTCGAAAACAGCGCCTTCACCGCCGAACCTATCCGTTCCCCACCTGCAAGCGGTACACTGCGCTGTCAAAGTCTGCGGCAGAGGCTTCGCCGCAACCTTCTCTGTCCACCTGCAGGGAACGAATGGTATCCTTAAAGATCGCCATATGTTGAAACACCTACAACTGTGCGCAAATGAGGAAACTCCCAGGGGCCCAGATTCATACTTGAGGCGGCAACCTGAGGCAACGTGTGGCAATGTGAAGCAATGTGAGGCAATGTGAGGCAACGCCCGTTGTGGAAATGATCCCCAGAGACCTTCGCCTTTCTCCCCACGACCAAAGAACAGTTGGCTTTCCGGCTTTGAACATAATTTAATTTGCCAATTTTAGTGGACACCGTGATATGATCATTTGAGGAAGCAAAGGTTTCTCAAACTTAGTTCACAGCTCCAACCACTTCTTCGCCTGAAGTAAGAACTCCGTCACGTGCGCGACGAAAACACATGCAGGAATATGGCACAAGGGAATAGCCGTCCTGGCAACCGGAAACCAAAGCGCACCCCTGGAATGGGAGAAGGTGCCTTTTCAGAATCATGGTTTTCCATTGTCTAAACCCTTCTATCCACTTCCATGATTGTCAGAAAGAGAGTCTCCTTGGGGTTTGGTCACTTGCAACAACTTCCAGCCTCCCGCCAGAATGCCATAAGCTCCTCTATTGGCATGGGGTTCGCAACCTGCAGCTGAAGGCAGAATGCGGGCAAACTCCAAGTCCCTCAGACGAAGTGAGCACAAGGTTGAACCAAATGCCGGGAATTTCTCTGATCGACTTTTCGCTCATCTTCTCACATACCCCTTTAGAAAAAACACCCCAAATTCACGTCTGGGAACACCCGGTGTATTTCTCGGGGTCGTTTCAACCCGACGCGACAGGATCCGAGGATCCGAAGGACACCCAGCGACCTGGGCCCCAAAAGCGGGGATCGGCCTTGCCGATCATGCGGTGGAACTCCGGAAACCGGAGGCGGCCCTGCCTGGAGCTCACTCGCCCAGGAGCTGAGGAAACTGACCAAATCAAGAAGACTCTTCAAGAGGTGATCGCCTTGGATCTTGCAAGTGAGTCAACTGGCAGATGAATCCGTGGAAACGGGAATCCTTCAGTTTTGAACAACAGTGTTCTTTGCAGCTGAATTCTGCGCAGCACCGCCCCTCGCCTATAGATTGCATATGCTCCAGAGATTTGAGTGCGCTACTCAGACATACTCCACCGCACGTTTAACATGGAACCCAAAAAACAAATCCCCCAAAAGGACCTTCCTCTAGATGCCTTTCTAAGTTCTGTGCTAATTCACGGAGCTGTAGAAAATTGCTGAGTCTCTAGCCTTGACACGCACAGAGTCAGTGAAGACATGTTTACAAGTTACTAGTACCTAAAGCAAAGCCGTTCAAAAATATCCGGTTTCAACTTGGGTTTGTCAAAAAGAAGTAGGGTTGACAAATCGCATTTCTGAGAAGCATAGTTGCGAACAGCTGCAAGCGTCTTCCACACCGGTTTAAGGCTTTGCGCAGGCCCCTTTACGCACGCCAAACCAAACATGGTGGTAGAGCTACATACCTAAAAACCCACCGGGTCCCGTCTATGTACTTAAACATCCTATGGGGAACTCGATTGACATTGGCGCGTTTGGCGATGTTCACAAGGAAAACCCGACAGTCCGTGCTGCTGAAATGAGGAGCGCCCCAAATCCAGCGACGGTTCTTTCAAAAAAAGGTGGGTTATGCAAATCTACGCGGCATTATGTCGGCCTTGCTGTAACACTTATAAAGCCAGGTAGTTAAATCACTTACTAAACAGCAAATCAGGGTTTTGGGTGCTGCGCAAATGGGAATGTGTTAAACTGGGGGGGACCCCCACAAACTTTGTTTATCCTTTCGGGTTCCATTTAAACCAACCTGAAAAGCATACATTGAATTCTCGCAGACCCAAACGGGAATACTCTTGCCATCTCCAGCCCACCGAGCCGTTTTGCATCCTAGCCTGATTGGCTCGCTGGCATCGATAAACTTCGTCCACAGCTGTGATGCTGGACAAGTCCTGTCCTTGGAGAGCTGGAAATGTGGCCGTGCGTCAAAATACGGTATTGGATCCCGAAATGGCTTGCCTTTTGGTTTCCCTTCAAATTTAAAACCACCTCAAAAAGGGCTGGGTGCCCTCAAAACAAACACCTACATACACAAATGGAGAGACTGCCGCCGAAGGGCCGGGCTAAGAAAACCCAAGATCTTAATTTAAAGCAGGTGTTCCCTCTCGGTGTTGAGAATGTTCCCTTTTGGTGGAGACGGCACCCACTCACAGTTAGCCAGATCTTTGATCCGGCATTTTGAGACGACCTGAAGCAATTGCAAGATCTTCAGATCTTCCGCCTCGTGTCATGTAGGATGTATGCTATGGGATGCCAAAATGCGCCAAGCTTGCCTATTAGTAGATGTTGTTCTGTTGGTACGTAGCAAGCAGACAAACGTCTGAATGACCAATGCTGATTCAGGAAGACATGGCGAGCAAACTATAGTTAAGCTTCCATAATCACAATTGAATTGCCATGGCTTGCCACTGATTGTGCACATACATGCTTGAGCTCACTAGCAAGCCACAAAACAAAGCCCATGCTGCGGTTACCGTGCGACCGCGGTTTGGGCTTTTTGGAACGCATGTCCCATGTGTATCTACATCACTGCAATGCCACCCTGGCCGCCAAAACTCAGAACGCTGCCGAGCTCTTTTGCACCAGGCAGCGCCATCTCCGACTATAGTACACCATAGGCAGACTCATCGGCGTACCTCTTAAGAACCCCCATTCCCATCGCCAAAACAACTTCCGAATGAAGAAAGCTGACCGGGCGGATGCACGCCGCATCCGGCTCCGTGAAACGATCTCACGTGGGAAGCTGGCTTTCCCACAGCTTGGATGCAATCCATTCATTCGGCAACCCAACGAGAATCATGGTCTATAGTCAAAAACCTTTGAACACATGCAACAAAATACATATGCTTTAGCAACCAAACAACATGAACCCTTGGTAGTTCAGCATGCGTTCCAACCTTTCAGAGAGAAAGCTTTGACAATTTGAGCTATGAGGCTACAGCTCACAAAATTCGTGGACTTTCGAAGCCCGAAACCAGCCCAAGTCCGGGCACCCTTCTAAGGCAACGCCATACAGCCAACCCTGACCACGCTGAAGGATGCGGAAAATCTGGCCCTTGCGGCCCTTCAACTCATCTTGGGCAAAGTCTGCAAGAGCTCGGCATTCCCCAATCGTCAGCAAGTCCAAGTCCCGGCAGCTACCGTCTGAAAGCTTGACCAAGTCATTGTAAAGACTCTTGCTCTCCATCGGCCGTGCAGCTGGTGCCTTCCTTAGTGGAGGTGCGGGCGCCTTCGGCGGCGACTGCTGCGGAACCGCCTGCACCGCTTGCCCTGTTTGGGCTGTCTCTGCCGATGCTTTTGCCGGTGGCGGCTGCTGGGGAATCGCCTTGACTTGGGGGGAAGCGTCCTCTGGGGGAGGTGTTTGAGGAAACGCTTTCACTGTCGGCGATGCTGTCTCTGCTGAAGGCTTGGGGAATGCCTTCGCCGGCACTGCTGCCGAGGCTGCCTCTGCCGAAGGCTTCGGGAATGCCTTCGCCGGTGGCGGCTGCTGGGGAATCGCCTTGACTTGGGGGGAAGCGTCCTCTGGGGGAGGTGTTTGAGGAAACGCTTTCACTGTCGGCGATGCTGTCTCTGCTGAAGGCTTGGGGAATGCCTTCGCCGGCACTGCTGCCGAGGCTGCCTCTGCCGAAGGCTTCGGGAATGCCTTCGCCGGTGGCGGCTGCTGGGGAATCGCCTTGACTTGGGGGGAAGCGTCCTCTGGGGGAGGTGTTTGAGGAAACGCTTTCACTGTCGGCGATGCTGTCTCTGCTGAAGGCTTGGGGAATGCCTTCGCCGGCACTGCTGCCGAGGCTGCCTCTGCCGAAGGCTTCGGGAATGCCTTCGCCGGTGGCGGCTGCTGGGGAATCGCCTTGACTTGGGGGGAAGCGTCCTCTGGGGGAGGTGTTTGAGGAAACGCTTTCACTGTCGGCGATGCTGTCTCTGCTGAAGGCTTGGGGAATGCCTTCGCCGGCACTGCTGCCGAGGCTGTCTCTGCTGAAGGCTTGGGGAATGCCTTCGCCGGTGGCGGCTGCTGGGGAATCGCCTTGACTTGGGGGGAAGCCTCCTCTGGTGGAGGTGTTTGAGGAAACGCTTTGACTGCTGGCGATGCTGTCTCTGCTGAAGGCTTGGGGAATGCCTTCGCCGGGGGCAGCTGCTGGGGAATCGCCTTGACTTGGGGGGAAGCCTCCTCTGGCGGAGGTGTTTGAGGAAACGCTTTGACTGCTGGCGATGCTGTCTCTGCTGCAGGCTTGGGGAATGCCTTCGCCGGGGTCAGCTGCTGGGGAATTGCCTTCACTGCTGGCCATGCTTGGGGGGAAGCCTCCTCTGGCGGAGGTGTCTGAGGAAGCGCTTTCACTGCTGGCGATGCTGTCTCTGCTGATGGCTTGGGGAATGCCTTCGCCGGTGGCAGCTGCTGGGGAATCTCCACTGCTGGCCATGCTTGGGGTACTTGGGAGGAGGGCTCCTGTGGTAAAGATGTCTGAGGAAACGCTTTCATTGCTGGCGGTCCTGTCTCTGCTGAAGGCTTAGGGAATGCCTTCGCCGGTGGAATTTTGGGAAATGCCTTCTCCGGCGGAGGTACGTGCGGAAATGCCGTTCCCGGTGCAGGAACACGAGGAAATGCGGCCTCTGCTGGCAGGGGGGGAGCCTTTTCAGCCGGCTGCGCTGCCGCCTTGACAGCTGGAAACGCTGCAGGGTTCTCCGGCCGTGTTAAAAACGCTGGCGCCTGCGGCGCCTGCGGCTGCGGCGCCTGCGGCACCTGCTCTGGCCCATACGGTTCAGAAGGTCTGGGCGGAGGAAAGGCAGCCTCTCTCTGCTCTTGCGGAAGGGGGCCAGCAGTGGGAAGCCAGCCGTTAGCATAAACGCCCGGCGCCTTGTCCGCACCCATGAACACCGGCCTGGGAGCTGAAGGACACCATAAACATATAATATATCTGTGTGAGATCACCTGAGAAAATTGGACTTAACCCACCCATGAAAGAACCTGCAACACGGGGCCAAAAGTTGCAAACCCATACATATGCAGGGTCGACATTTGAGTGTGTTTTTGCTCCAGGAAAATCAGGGATGACCCCCTTTCACAACAAACAACAAACAAGACGTCACCTCGTGATTTCCGTTGGAGGGTCAATCCTGTATGTCGTGCTCCTCAAACTTGGCTCCCCCTGTGCGCCCTGTTCGAAAAATGGGGACAAAGGCGGCATCGGGTGCCCAGCGGCTTGTAGCTGGGCGTGATGAACCGCTGCTCGCTGGGCCGCACAAAGGTCTCCGATACCTGGGGGTGCAGCCGCTTCCGCTTCTCCAGGACGTGCACCTGCGACTCGGTCCGTGGGCACATGGGAGGTGAGTTAATGCTGGCTCCCAACAAGGGAAACCCCCGCTCCTTGGAAGGGAAACCGAAGGATGCCAATAAAAAGGGGTCCAAGCTGGAGCCCAAGAAAAAGGGATCTCAGTTGACATGAACCATGCTGGATCCCAATAAAAAGGGAAACCCAGCTCGTAACCCGAAGGGAAACCCCAAGTGGAACAAGAAAAGGAACATAGGAGGAACATGGGGAAGTGGGCAGGGGTACCAATTTCGGATAGACATGGGGCCTTGGACTAGCAGAGTTGGAACATGTTGGGTGCCTTTTAAGGGACAGCGACTTCCCATTGTGTTCAACTATCGTTCTTTCCAGAAACCAACCGTTCCACGTGGGTGTTCATGTTCTTTCTGGAAATAAACATCCCCCCCCCCAAACATGGCCCCTCTAAATCGGAGCGGATTTGGACTGGCAAATGATGCCTTTGAAGGACCTAGAAGGAAACCTCAGTCCAATGTTCCACTGTATTTAGTTGCCCGCCACCTATCTTCAGGGGAGTTTCCAGCCCCCCTACCAGCCTCTGTCACTCTCCTCAGGTTTTCTGGGTTGGGGCAGGGGGCCTACTTGCCCCTTGCCCGCCTTGGACCTCCTGGGCCGGTTCTCCCGGAAATCGGCCTCTGTGGTCTGGAAAGGGCTCCTGGCAAAGTTGCCATGGCCTCCCTTGCCATGGCCTCCCTTTCTGGCAGCGAACCTTCAAGGCACAAACTCCTCCAAATCCAGAAAGTAGTCTTCCCAGCGTTTCCCTCAACAGTTTGAATGCAGGATTTGAAGGACCACGCTCATGAAGGCAGTGATTGCTGTGGATACCTTTGTTTGTTCTGTTGATCTCATGATATTTCCAGGCTTTACAGTTTGACAATTTTGCTTGATTCAGCATAAAGCGACTCTCACTTCTGAAGGAATTCTGGTTTTGGGAACTCCTCAACAGGTTGGATTCGCTGTCCCCGGATTCGCTGTCCCCAACCTGACATTCAACAGTATTGATCCAGCAATGCTTGAAGCAAGAAACAACCACCACCTGAAATGCCGTATATCACCTGTCGAACAGGCTGCTCGATCAAGCATACTGGCCACGACTTCGTTGATAGGTCTGCTGAGGGGAAGTATCCTGTTTCAACCCCACCCCAAAACGCCCCAATGGGTATTTGTTTTTGGGTACAAATTCAAGCAACAAATGCGGGTCATTCCCGAAACAAAAAGAATCGACTTGAAGCCATTGCTGCATTCTTTTCTGGAAACAAGCAATCCCAGAAAACCAAAGGCCCTGCCGCACCCCCGGAAAGGTTCGGTAATTAAATTGGTTCTGGATTGAACCTCTGCGAGGGGAGGAAGATATTCCTAGATGACACTGACCATGCGTCAACCAACAATCGTATTGTTTATGTTGGTCCGCTCTGAAGCCCTGCAGTTCAAAGGGAGTTTAAACTCCTGTGAATTTTGTTCAAGTCAGGGAGTTTAAAGTCCATGAAGTCCGGTAGAATCATTTCAAAGATCCCAGGTGTCCTGGACATGATGACGCAAAACCTGGAATCTGTGCCCACCAAGGGGTACAGCTCCAAGACGCGGGACTGGTTGGGCCAGCGCCCCCCCACCTCCGGCTCCTCGTGCTCACGCACAAACCTCCCGCAGGGCAAATTCCCGGCAAATCTAAGAACCTTGTGAAACCAAAAAAATCGTTGTGTCCCTTGCTAAGAAAAACAAAGCCCCCACCCCAACCCTAGTGGAAAGCTTCGGAGAGTGCGGAACATTATTTCCAGGGGATGGGGGGCTAATGTCTGTCCGGATTGAAACCGCACCTTGTCGCTTAAACACGTGATCAAGTTTTTCCTCACCCAGCCTCACCACTGCACGCCCCTCTTTGTCCTTGGAGGTAATGACCACGCAGCGCCCTGCAGGGTAATTCAAAAAGGGCAAGTCAAATCGAGAGGACTGCATTGCCCGCTGCGGCTTTCTGCTCAAGACCCCAGTTCAGCACTCCCTGGTAGAAAAAGGAAAGCCCTTTGGTGTTGACCCTTTATTTCGGGGAAGCCAGAAAAGAAAAAGGAAAAAGGGTGCTGCAGAACAACTGAGAGATACTTTTCGCAAGAGCAGGCAGACTGATGTATCCAGGTGGATCCCCATCCTTTACCCGCCCAGCCTTGGTGAGCCAGCTGCTCACAAGCTGCATGAAGCATGGCATCCAGCTGTTCCATCTCTTGGTTCAGAAACACCATCAACGCGTGGAAAGTTGGCCACACTGCCCGCTCATCACCGTTTTGCTTGGCCACCCCCACCACGCAAGCCAGCTCTTTGTTGCTCCGAATCGGGCGAAGGCTTTGAGTGTGCTTGATATGCCTTACATGCCAAGTTGACTGCCGAAGCAAAGCCCTCTTCAAGCACCACCCCTTTGGAAGTTCGGATGAAATCAAGGTGGTTTATGCACTGCTCCCCATGCTCCCCCCCACCCCGCAAGGGTTGCGAGAAAACCTGCTGATTTATCACAAAGCCGCTCTGCGATGCGCTCAGACATCAGCGGGTCGCCGTGCTCCCCATACTCCCGGAGCACCCAGGCGATCTCTTCCGTGGAGGCTTCTTGCAGCCACCGCCAGGCAGGCACCCCGACCTCCGGGCTCACACGTAAGTCCAGCTCCACCTCAACCGGAAGGTGGATGGCAGGGACAAAGACAAGTAGAATACAGCAATCCCATGGTTCCCGCAAGCTCAGTCGGCAAGTGATAACAGGCTGGATCTATAAAGGATGTTGAAGCAAGGCTCCATGCCCGCTTGGTTGGTCAGCTTAAAGTGGGGCCATAGCATAGAACTTTCTGCGAGGGGCACATCGCAAGCAAATGCCATAATTACTTATCAAAAAGACGCAAAGGCTGAAACAAGCACTACGCAAAGGCTGAAACAAGCACTCCCTGAGACCTCAGCGCCTCCCTTACTTGGTTTGGGCTGCCCAGGCCTATGACAAAGGACATTGACGTTGAATTTGGGCACCTTGCTTGTGTGGGCATTGTGCCGAGGCACATCCGCAAAGATGTCCAATCTCTGGGGCCCCGGTCCGCTGCGGTCGATAAGCACGCCATCCACCTGTACGGGCGGAGTTCGTGGATTGCCGCTGTTGCAGAGTGACCAAACGGTCACTCGACGCGGTCACAGCGTCATGCCGGCCATTCACCCTGGTCATCTGTTCCAGTCGAACAGCATGTCTCAGTTTCTGGATCCCCTGGATCCCAAAGTCAAGAAATAACGGGGGACCGTGGCATGCACGCCTGACTTAAGTTTCCGAGACTTTGTAGAGTAACCTGCTACCTGCCAAAGGTGCTGGACTTGAAAGAGGAAAACGGTAGGCCACAATTGAGTTCCGTGTGCCAACTGCTACTCACTATGCTTCAATTCACCAACTAGAAACTAGGAATTCCGCATGAAAGAAGGTTCATCATAAGTAAGCTCTTTTTCACGCAGGAAATCTGGTTGTTAATCTGCTCAAGGGGGAACTGCCCTGCCGCTGCTGGAGTCTGAGCAGACACGCCCAGCTACTTGCTAGCTCGAACCTTCTGCCGCTGAGGAAGATCAAAATACTAGGGGCATCTCCAAACAGAGACACCCCCAAGATGGGCGAAATTTTTGCACCTGAAACAAAACAAAGCTATGTTACTCATGTCACCGTTGGCTCAGGTTCGTCCACCGCATCCCATGGACTGGCCACCCTCGGCGCCTCCTCGTGCCCTACTTCCTCTGCCAGCTGTTCCATGGGCCGCTGGGCAATGCGCAGTCGAGGGTCCTGAAAGCAACGGACCTGGACTTCCAAATATCGGAGACCTCTTTTGCATTTACGGAATTGTTTTGCTCTGTGTGGGTGCGTGTCGATTTTTGGAGTTGCTGCAAGGGTTTGGGGTCGCGTTCAAGCAACACCTTGAGGACACCCTGTTCGACACGTTTAAACCGTGGCCTCTTGGATAACGGGCATAACTATAACGGAATCCCCGTTCCAAATGCAAAAGTGTCAAAACCCGAGACGTACAGCTGCGATTATCCATGAAGAAATCTCTGAAAGTTCGAAGCTTGTTAATTCACAGGTGGGATGGATGGTGCGGCCCGAGCAGTTGAAGCAATGATAAAAACAAAAGTCCAGAAACTCAGGAAGTGAGGCATTCCACTTGACAAGATGTGCGCATCGTCTTGAAAAGAAAAGAACATGCATGATCCCAACAGAAAGAAAACAAGTACGTCAACACTAAACATTACAAGCCACTCGGCTTAACTTGTGGCAGTAGGCGTAAGCAATACTTGAAAAATGTCTACCCTGGCCCTGGCTTCGCAATGGTGGCTCGCTCAACATGATCAGAATATGATCAGATTGATTGACCAATTGACTGATTGGGGGATCGATCGCTCGAACGATGGATCGATCGATGGATCCAAAACACGAAAGGACCTTTGCTCCCCTTTCTGCGGTTCAGCTAATTCACGCTGTCCTGCTCGGCCAATGCTCTGGCCTCTGGCAGCACCGTGTTATCTACGAAGACCACCAGCCGGGCGGTGACTGACAGCCGCGGCAAAATCCGGCGGCTGTGCCCTAGCCCCCCCGAGCAATCCACGTAGAGGCCGTCCATGGTGCCGTCTGCGTGGGCCCTCCGCCTTGGCCCTCGCGGCTTTTTGTTCGCACCCAATGCACAAGGAAAGTCGTTTTGAGGGCGCGTTGCTATTTTTGGTTCTCGCGCACATTTCGGGAAAACGTATGACTGGAACTCCCATTTTTGGGGCCTCACGCTCTGTTGCAATGGAGTAGGTGCTAAACAGGGGTTCTGGAAAAGTTAGGCAAGTATCGTATCCATCCCCCGCATCTTGCGGACTGCTAGAACCGTACCCGCAACATCCTCAAATTCTGGTCATGTAAGTGGCGCCTTCCTACTTGAGCTGCTTGGGCATGTTCCCGGTCAATCAAGTCGCGCGATCCTACTTGGGCTGCACGAGCATGCTCCTTCTCAAGTAAGTGGTGCCTTCCCACTTGGGCTGCATCAGCATGTTCCGGGGCGTGCCTATTTGGGTTGCAGGAGCATGTTCCTGATCAAGTAAAGTGGCGCGATCCTACTTGGACTGCGTGACCGTCAAGCAAGTGCCGGATCCCTACTGGGGCTGCGCGAGCATTCTGCCAGTCAATGAGTGGAGCGTTTTTACTTGGGCTGCATAGGCATGTTCCTGAGCAAGTACGTGGCGCGTATGTACTTGGGCTGCATAATGGCTGCATGAGCGGTCAAGTAAGTGGCACATATGTACTTGGGCTATGAGCATGTTCCTTCTCAGGTAAGTGGCGCGTCGCTGTTTGGGTTGCAAACGCATGCCCCTGGTCAAGCAAGTCGTGCGTTGCTAATTGGGTTGCATAAGCATGTTCCTGGTCAAGTAAGTGGCGCGTTACTGCTTGGGGCATGGGGCATGTTCCTGGTCAAATACGCGAAGCGTTCCACTTGGGCTGCACGAGCAAGCTACTGATCAAAGTGTTCCCACTTGGGACGAGCATTTTCTTGCTCAATTAAGTGGTGCGTTCCTGCTTGGCAAAGGAATGTTCCTGGTGGAGCAAGTGGCGTGTTCCTACTTGGGCTGCACAGGCATGTTCCTGGTCAAACGAGTGGCCGGTTCCTACCCGGGCCGGTGAGCGTGTTCCCGCATAAGTAAGTGGCTCGTTTCCACCTGAGCTGCGTAAGCATGTTCTGGGCTGCATGACCGTCTTCCTGGTCAAGGCAGTGCAGCGTTCCTACTTGGGCTCCGTGGGCATGTTCCCGGTCAAGCAAGTCGCACGTTCCTGCTTGGGCTGCATGGGCATGCTCCTGGAAAAGTATGCGGCGCCTTCCTACTTAGGCTGCATAAGCATGCTCCTGGTTCACTAAGTTGTGCGCTCCCATCTGGGATGCACAAGCCTGTTTTGGATCACCTAAGCGGCGCGCTTCTACTTGGGCTGCATGAACATGTTATGCTCCTGGTCAGGCAAGTGGCACGTTCCTGCTTGGGTTAGTGAGCATGTTGCCGGTCAAGTAGGTGGCGCGTGTCTAGCTGGGCTGCAAAGCATGTTCCTGGTCAATTAAGTGGCCCATTCATTCTTGGGCTGGTGAAACAAGTGGCCGGTTCCTACTCGGACCAGTGAGCACGCTCATGGTCAAGCAAGTGACACGTTCCTATTTGGGTTCGCGAGCATGTTCCTGGTCGGTCACCTGGTCACCTGGTCACCCAGTTGGCGCATTGCTACTTGGGCTGCATGTTCGTGGTCAATTCAAACGCGCGTTCTTACTTGGGCTGCATAAGCATGCCCCTGGTCGGTTCCTACTCGGGCTGCATGAGCATGCTCATGGTCAAGTAAGTGGCCGGTTCCTTCGCGGGTCGGCGAGCATGCTCATGGTCAAGTAAGTGGCATGTTCTGGTCCTACTTGGGCTGCGAAGCCATGTTCCTGGCCAAGTCAGTGGCACGTTTCTCCTCGGCTTGTGAGCATGCTCATGGTCAAGTAAGTGGCACGTTCTGTTCCTACTTGTGCTGCATAGCCATGTTCCTGGTCACCTTCCTACTTGGGTGACTGATCATTGCCCCTGGTCAAGCAAGCGTGTACTTGGGCTGACCTGCCGCGCCTTGGTTCAGCAACTCGTGCACAACGTCTCCTTCTCTTTCCGCCGTAAAGCTCCGAGTCAGCGGCGGCATCGAGGCCTCGCGCCGCCGCGCCGGCGGCTGATAAGACGCCCATGGGGTGGCCCCCACCGCCGGAGACACTGGCGGCGTGGGCACTTGCGGGCTAGCCACCGGGCTGGCCATGGCTGATGCTCTGAGTCAGCCAAAACGGCCGTGCTTGATTCACTTGAAGTTGCTTCTACTGGAGGATGGTTGTTTCACTTGGGTGGCTGAGGTTGGTGTACTTGATGGCTGCTCTTGGGTGGTTTAGCGCTTGTTGCGTGAGTCACTGCTCATGACAGGGGAAATTCCGGCCTTGCGAACGACCTAGCAAGCTCGTCGTGCCCCTGGGGCAAATTAGTGGGATAGCTTTCTATCCGGGGGCAAATGTTCCATTTTCCGGTGTCAGATCTGTTTGTCCGGTCCACGCGCCAGCCAAATGCCCACAGAGAAGCATGTACATGCACCATGCACCCATGGCAAAAGCATGGCCTTCAATGATTTCAATGTAAAAGGCAAGGGTACCTTGCAGGTGAAGTGACCTGGACGCCCAAATAATCGGGTGCGGCGCTACTTGAAGGAGCAGAACATGTGCAAAGCCAAATCACGCTCCAGGTCACAGACATTCTTCAGCCACGAGTGGATGCTGAGCCTGAAGGCAAGGAACCGCTGCACCGCCGGGCTGACATGGATCATAAAGATTTGCTCAAAAGGAAAGCTGTCATTTAGTGGGCTAGCCCCAGATCCAATGTTAACGGCGTTGTGTTGTTGTAGCGTGTTCAACATCTGAGATCCAATGCAAACGCCAACCAAAAGCTGACGTCGTTCAGACTTCGTCAGCAATGTACCCTGTCTTGGCATGACTTCAGTGAAGTGCAAAACCTCTTGCTTCTCAGGGAGAAGAATTATTTGAAGTTAGGATAGTCTTGCCATGCCGGTTAATTGGCTCCAGCAATTCAAGGGTCATGCTCATCTGAAGTCGCGGGTCCCTCTGGGTCAATGGGATCCACCAAGATGCTAAGGGATCCGTCGATATGGCCCTTGTTGCCAGCCTAAAAAACAGGATTGGGCCTTGTTTACTGCAAGCATTACTGTGTCTTCTGCAAAAGTACGTGCGGCTGGCTCCCAACTCGCCCTGGCACGTTCATAAACTCAGGACGCTTTCAGACTGTCTAAAAACAAGAGCCTGCGCTTGCTATCTCCAAGATTGTCACGCTGTGTTTGCTACGAACGCTGACTTTAGGCAATTCACCCTGCTCATTGATTGCATGTGCAAAAGATGGAATAGTGCACTGACCAAGTGCAACAGAACAGCTCACATGCTAGCTCACCAGCTTAGAAAGATCCAGGACGCACCACATGTTGTCCATTTGCGTGAACAACTTGATGGGCATGGGCCTGCCCAGTCAGGGAAGTTAGTACTACGCCAAGACCCGTGTACCTCTTTGCGCATATCGTACGCAGAGCATACGGGCAGCAAAACGATCACCTGTCCCATTCCGATTCGATCATCAACCAAAGCAGTTTCAATGCAAAGTTCGCAGCGGCCGACCAAGGTGAAATACGAGCCGTCCAGTGGTCCAGGGAAAGAAACGAAAACCATCGTTCAACCCTGCTGGTCTGTTCATGTTGTTCATTTGTAGCCGAGGGGGTACACCAACAACATGGGAACAAAAGCACAGCACATTGTAAACCTGGAAAGTACATTGATCCAAGTATTCCCTACATTTTTTGGTTCCTGGATTGAAGACCACATGAACAATATCCTATCACGCGCTAAGGAACCCTTAAGCAGCTACAATTTCTGAAGCACTGGACTCAAGGGCATTTGCGCTCGCATCCATGCTTCCAAGGTGCGTGAGCTCCTTGCCGACGGACACCATGCGCTGGGCCTGAATACCGTTTTTCAGCCAAGAAGCGGAAAGAAATCAGTTCGCGCAACGGAAACCGTGTCTGTTTTGGGGACGCACGAGCCAAGGGGTCATGTCAGGATTTGAGAATCAGTTCGGGGTTCTACAAAAGGCATTAACTAGCCTGAATAGGATTGTGTACGTAGCATGCTAAGTTGGGAGAACAGCAAACCGATTTGACAAAAGCACCTCTAGACCTGGAACCAACGGCGGCGAAAATGAAAATGCTCGAATTCGCGGATCCCAAGTGGCCTCCTGTCTTTGATCGTTGATTTAAGGGATCAACCAAAAAACACAAAAGGAACCAACAAGACAAAGTCACCACTGGGCGTCTTGGGGTTTTGAAGAAGTGAGCGAAGCCTGCGACACATGCTGATGAAATGCCTGCAAACTGAGCCCTTGGCATCTATAACCTTGGACGGCAATGGGGTGCGAGGTGGGGGTAAGTGCAGGGCATTTCTCCATGCTTCCATTCTGGTGCTAAGTTGTGGCACTTCAGGGTCCGGCAGTATGATCTCAACCTGACCAAGGGGTGTGTATGAAAGATTATGAAAGATGGGCGTGATGTATATTCATCAGGATTCATCCAACTTCTCTGAGCATGATTGATGAAACAATGCTAAACTGGCAAGTGCAAGCAATGCAAATGAACATAGGAACGTGGTTGTGTCTTTCGAAGTTGTGAGGGATGTACTTGCATATCGGGGGCATATTGTGGGACACTGCTTCACGATCGGGAATCAAACACTGGTAGTAGCGAACAAAATGAACGGAATTGCAATAGCAAGATGCAAGGACCCACAGACACACACAACTGATCAACAAATGGTTGACCTCCCTGATAAATCTAAAGTCAGCTGCACACTCAAAGACTCCGCTGAATAATACCGGGCTTAAACCGAGGATGCAAGACATGTCAAGATGTTCCTCCCTGCAATGCGGAGCTATATATATCTTAAAGACTTATGGATTTCGCACAAGTCCACAGTGCATGAATTCAACTCCGCGTTGGACTGGTCAAAAAGCGAAAAGGCAAAAGCAAAGTACGATCGAAACTCGCGTGTCGCTTGTGGCCAAACTGTTCATGGCTCGGTATGGTAGATGCAGGCTTTCGCAGGTGTCGGATGGAATTTTGGGGCGCATGTACAATCTGTCTCAACAGGCGCCGCTTTCACTTGAGTATGTTTCAAAGGCAACCCAGAGGCGGATAGTGCGAGCTACTGCAAATTTAAAAGTGCAAGTACCTCCCCACCAGGGCGCCCAAGGGATATTCTTCTCAAAAAGACCCCCTCGAAAATATAAAGCAAATCAAAATAATAACAAACAACTGCGGTTACAGTGGTTCAAGTGGGTGGTTGCTGGCTTTGCTATGGCAAACTTGGGTGGTCGCCCCTCGAACCAAAGGACCAGTGAAGCCAAGAAGCCGGGGCTTCTGCGATCGCCTGCCTCAGCTCTTCCTCCTCCTCAGCGCGAGCTTGCTGCATGCACTGAGGCCCACGACTGTCTGGGTTGTTCAAATCGACACCACCGCAAGGAGTTTGCACCCAGACTGTTTGCAGGTGCCGGCATTCTCACGTGCTTGAGCCGAGCCCCGGAGCAGCAAGCCTGGCTTAAGCCTAAGAATTTGTGTGATCTGAACAGAGCAGGGGCTATAGCCTGAGGTAATCCAGGACCCACGCGGCTGATACCAAACAATGGAACGGTGCAATGGAACAAACGCATGGCGAGCTCGCAATTGTTGCCAATCGTAAGCTGGGGGTGTTGGATTGACATCATAGGATCACCGTAGGACAACAAGCCAAATTCCGACACACCTGCATTCACTCAGCGACCCGAGCAATGAAACAACACGCAGCCCTTCAACGGCGACATCCGACCATGGCCAAGGTGGGATGTGCCACGCAAGCAATGTCAGAGGCCATCTTGGAAGCTGGCAGATGCCGAGATGCTATAGCCTCAGCATGCGCCGCTGCGCTAGGACAGGGAAATGCAGAAGTTTACATCAGGTCTGCCTAAATGGCATACCTGGCTCAGTAGACTTGGTTGATTGATAGGTGGTTGCCCCTAGACAATGTGACAAGAACCTTCCCACAAGACGTGAGAAGAAGCCTGTTTTCCCATTTGTCAACCGGCGGTTGGTCCATCCGGGGCTCCCATTGCCTTTCTTGTATGCCGACAGCACCTCGTTGTAAAACACTGGCTCTCTGCTGGCAAAAGTGTTGGCATAGGGAGTCGTAAGCCAGGGCTCATCCGTCGCAACATTATGACGCCAAAGTATGGGCAAAACATCAAACCAACACACATACACACACTTTAAAGGAAAAAAACACACAAACACACAATACACGTATAGTCTTCCCAATAGCACTGGCTTAAGCCCAGCCGATACCGGCAATAACCGGTCAAGGTACTACGGGAAGAGCAACTTGAAGCTCTGGCCTGCTTGGCGGTAGGCATGTCTGCCTCCCTGCCTGTGAATGTGTGAATGAACGTGTGCATGTGCGCATGCATCATGTATGCATGCATGGATATGGATACTGTAATACATATATATATATATAAATATGTATATGGACATGCATGTATAATACATATATATATATATATATATATACATGTCCATATATAAATTATACAAATGTCTGTATACATGTATGTGTGGATATAACATCAAGATGCGAATTGTATTTGTCTGTGCCTCGATCGAAGCAAGTGCAGCTCGAGGTGCTAGGCTTTTGCACGGACTTCTGCGCGCTCTCCCCGTAGCGGCGCATGAACACCTCTGGCCCAGACTCCCGCGATGCCGGAGGCCAATGGAAAAAGCGGTGAAGACACAGACATTGGTTGTGGGTCAAAACCAATGGGATCCCATTTTGGGGTAGGTGCACCACCCATTCTAGTCTATTTTGGTGGGGTGGGGATGTTCACTGGGGGTACGGGCTTTTGACCCGTGGCCATATTACACCACCCACACCATGAATCAAACAACAAACAAACAAATAACCATCGCAAACTGACTCACATTGAAACAGACTAATAAGGCACAGCAGACCCGGAAATGCCTTAGAATCCAGGAGTGTAGTTGCCGAGTCTGGCATCTAGGGTGCCAAATCACTGATTAATGTGAATGACAGTGCCCAATCTTCAGACAGCAACGCCACATAGTCCAAATAGACCCACTCATTGTTCACAAACATCCCATCGCAAACGATTTGGATGCGTTGTGCATCCACA